TATAGAAATATTTTGAGAATTACAGGTATTACAGGTAAGTTTGATGAACCACTGGGAATGGTAGACAAAATATTGTCAAAACAGGACACAACAATGAGGATGGCAATTCCTCTAACTACAAACTTAGAAAAACATTACACTATTTAGTGACTGGTGATTCAGTTAAGTCTCTGGAGTACCTGTTTCAAGTTTCCAAAACAACAATATCGAGATTCCTACAACATGTACTTAAGCGAATTTGTTATGTTCTTGGACCATTCATTGAGGTGAGTGTAAATAATTTATTGTAGTTCCTATTCATCATTTGAAAAACCAGTTAGAGATGCTTAATTCACTGATTGACTGTTATACTTGCTGGAGTTCACTTGCTACATAGTTGCCAAAAGAGTATACTCACCCCATTTACTTGAGCCAAATAAAGAATGTTTTATATATATTTACCTTGCCAGTTGATTGCAATATAGTGGTCCTGGTTCTCCACTGCCTCTCTCTACTAATAATATCCTTAGTAATATCTACATCTAAATCCAAATAGCACTAATGTCATACTCCTGGCCAATATCATCGTTCCCTTTAATAGTAGTTCTCTTTTTTGCCAGACGTTTTGCCTTAATAGCGGCAATTTTCTCAACAGACATAGCATCTGAGAGAGATCTAAAAATAATATAAAATGGTGAACACACAGCAAATTTAATATGTAAAATTAAACTCACTTAATATTGTCCACAGTCACTGAAGCTTCTTTCGGCCCATCTAGCTTAGCAGCTAGCTTTTCTCTGACTTTCTGTACATGTGTGTCTTCAAATCTTGGCTTTTTTGCCAGACTTTCTGGGCCGTCATAATCAGCAGATCTTTTAACTTGTGTGGGTATTTCTAGAGGAGCACTTTTATCAATGGCAGGGCAACTAGCGGTTTCTCCATTTAAATAAGCCAATAGTTCTTTACGATCTGGTCTTCTTACAACAGGTATCGTTTCTGCAGCCGTTTGTCGTACATACACAGGATGGCTTAATGTAATATTTTTTAAAAAGAACAATAGACATTCCAATGTGTAATATTCCTTCGGTGTTCCATCTTTTCCTGACCTAAAAATCCATATAGGTAATGTTAAATTTGGAACTGTTTAAATTTCATTTATGAATATTCAAGGATAATTGTTTAGAAGAAATACTTACCCCCAAATAAGATAATTGGTTTTAACATTCTTAGGCCAAGAAAACTCCCCAAATATAATTTGTCCATCCCTTTCGATAATTTCCTTTTTATTTACGTTATATTGACGCAACAAACTTAGTGGATCTGCCATTGTCTTTTATATTTAACACTATAATATAATAACAAATACTTCAATAAGTAAGTTAACGAATTTCTTCGTTTATAAACTTAAAATACTTCTTTTTGTTTACTGTACTTTAATTCGAACACTACAGCATATGCAAAAATTTTTCACTAAACGCCATTTTCACAACTTTACTATAAAGCATAAATGAAAACTGACATCTGACATTCATATACAAGTGACAACTGACGCTGTCAAATTTACGTTTCTTCTTTTTTGATACCAAAATTAACAGTTAAGTTTTCATACACGAATACTTTTTAAATTTCCAGTGAATTTTTCCTTATGTACTCGGTTCGGTGATTCCTGTCTAAACTAATAAACTTGGTTAAATTTTTACCGACTGATTAACACCAACGAATAGCCTCTATATTCTTTGTTAACACATATTCAGATGATTTTTTTACAACAAGGCGCAACTTATTTTTAAAAGGTTTCTTTTCAATATGCTATTTTTTCATAAGAATTCTTCAGGGAAATATCTTTATTATGATGTGCCACATATTATATATTCCCTATTTAATATTAAACGTTTTGGCACTCAAAGGGTGAAGGTTGTAAAAAATGACTATATGACATACCCTTAGAAATAAGAATAGACCTATTTAGCATTTTCGGTAAGGGAATTACAGTGGATCGAATTTTTTTTCAACTGAGTTTATTGCTGTTGTGTATTTGTAAAGTTTGATCCCTCAATCCAGTTGAATATTTTTCAATTCGACTTCTCTCTCGAAACTAATTATACAATGAAGAGATGTCAGGGATAATAACATAAATGCGGATATTGATATAAATTTATTGAAATTAACTTATTTTCTACAACTATATTACATATTTACAACTGAAGTTTATATTATATATTTATAATAATTAAATCACTCTAGATGTCCTTTATTAGAACTAAAAAATAATATATTCTCTACAAAAACTTTCAAAAATTCACTTATGACTAGACCTTACCACATTTGTTACAATTAATAATAAATTATGTACAAAAATATTGTATAATCCAAAATGTACAATTTGTTATAGAACAGTCAACTAAATATCCTTCAAACTTTTTAATCCTCAGAAACCGGCCTGATTTTGAAGATCTTTGTAATGTTTTGCTTTATACATTATTTTAAAATGTGCCCAATTAATAGTTGTATTTTTTAAAGAAGTTGGTGCCTACTGTAGAACTTTAACAAAATCGATTGGTATTATAGGTACTATAAGATGTCTAGAACACTCTAAAATCGGAGGAAACAATTTTTATTTCTACAAAATATCAAAATCCGTTAATTAAGGTGGGGAACTTCATCAGGAATGTTTCACTTATACTGTAATACCTCCAAAGTACATGTTTTAACTTTTCGCACGAAATCAGCACATTTATTTTATATTAGGTATATAGAAATTAAAAGCCATAATAGATGAATGTGGGTACACCAAACAAACCATATTCAATGTAGATGAGATGGCGCGTGAAGAGAAAACCTTTCCACGTTTTAAGGTTGCCAAAGGTCAATTGATAGTGATGGTGGAGTCAAATGCAGCTGGTGATTGTAAGTTAAAACCATTTTTAATCGCTCAGAAAATACAAGAGCATTAAAAAATACATCTAAATCTGGCTTGCCTGTAATTTAGACGTCTAATCATAAAGCTTGGGTGACAGTTTTCCTTTTTGAGGATTGGTTTGGTCATCATTTCATACCTGAAGTCGAACGTTATTTTCAATCTAAACAAATTCCATTTAAAGTGATGCTAATTATCGACAACGATTCAGGTCATGCTCCTGCAACTTTAACTAGTTTTAATCCACGTGTGAAAGTTGAATTTTTGCCACCTAATATAACCAGTTTACTTCAGTCGATGGATCAAGGAGTCATTAAAACATTCAAGACTTATTACACTAAACGATAATTTGCACATCTCCATGAAGTTATAGGAAAAAACAACAAGTTCTCTGTTAAAGGCTTTTGGAAACAATTCAACGTGTTAGATGCAGTGAAAGTCATTGGACAATCTTGGAATGAAGTTTCACAAAAAACGTTGAATGGCGTCTGGAAAAAACTGTGTCCTTTTTTTTTCATCACTGACACTGAAATGGAATTGATGCCAGAGCATGATTAAGTTATTTAAGTTATTAAAGAAGTTGTTGACATCGCTCAGCAAATAATGACGTTTAAGAACTGTTGAATTCCTACAATTAGGAGCTGACAATAGATGACCTCATAGAAATGCACGAGGAAGAACAAGACATTGAAGAGCTTGAGTGTTTGGATCCAGTTCAATCTGAGGATCAAATGACGATTAGAAACTTGACTGAAGGCCTCAGTTTAATTGAAAAGGGATTTCAAATTTTAGAAAATATAGACCACAACGAAGAGCGCATTTTTTCTACTAAATAATGGATAAAAAAATTATAAGCCCGCTATAAAGAAATTTTGCGAGAGAAAAAAATCTTCAGTCGTCAAATCTACTTTGTTAGATGTTATAAAGCCTTCTACATAAAAATAAACTGAATTGACAATTTTATATTTGTATATCCTAAGATTTTAATAAAAATGTTTTGTGTAAATTGCTATTTTTTCTTATCTTCCGGTCCCAATTAAAATAATTTACATACATACATATACGAAATTATACCTCAACTTACGCGAATTCGACTTAAGCGATTATCGCGTAAGTTCGGAGTATTACTGTACTTATATCCCTAGATGCGGTATCGCTTTTCACAAACATTCCTCATATAATTTCAGATCATATAATTTCAGAATAAAAGTGGCACTTAGTAGAACCAAATACCACACTAAGTAATAATTTCTTCACGCTGGCTGATCGATTTTTTTCAATATGTAGTTTGCCTTTGGTGGAACTTTTCTACTCACAAATCTTGGCACTGCCATGAGCCGATCATACCCATTCCAGCCAACATAGTCTTAGATTATATATTCAATATAGTAATTCTACGACTACCGTTCAAGTTAACGCACATATACAAACTTGTGGATGATGTAATAAGTGTCATCCCTGAGAACAGTATCCAAACTATACTGAACATCTTCAATAGTTTTCACAAACACCTACAATTTACCGTTCAGATTGAGCAAGAGCAAAGTATTCCTTTTTTTAGACACTAAGATGATAAGAACATCAGAGAATAAGATCATTTTAGATTGGTATCAGAAGCCAACTGACTCACGACAGATTCAAAAATTATTTTCTCTCAGCAGTCAATAAGCTAAACATAACACTGTTGTTGCGATGAAGAACAGATTTGAGAGGGAAGCTAAGTCAATTATTACTACTAAAATTATCACACAACTTTTTCTGCAAAAATCCGAATGCCACCTCTCACATCCACCTCAAAACAGATCTGTCCTGGTCTAATGCCCATGAAAATACCTGCAGCACCGCCACTTTGTCACAGAATAAGTCCATCCATGTAAAAACGTGTATAGGTAAATCTCTTACATTTCTCCTCTCACTTTTCCTTACATAAAATCAATTGAAAAACCTTTTATTTTAGACTTCTACAGTGGTACTATCCTTTAAACAAGATTTAATTAGGTAATGAAAGAATGTAGTTAATACTTTACATAAATAACATATCCTATGTAAAACATAAAGAAAATAAATAAATTTGTAATTTTTTTTGACAATTTTTGCATAATTTGAAATTTTTATGACCCTGAAAAAAAAATTAATTTGAAATTTCACAATAAAATAACAATTTAACAGGTATAACAAATATTACATATAACAGTATGTATTTAAAGGACATGTGGCTATTAATTAACAGGACAGAAGAAATATCCTGAAGCAAACTTCCAATACTGGAAGGAGCTGTGTGTTTTGTGTGTATTGAAATAATCAAAATAAAGTGTTTTACAGCATCAGTCTCGATATTTATTAGCCACACCTTGTCCTGTTTCAAATGAAGCCAGTGTATATAACATTTTTGTGATTGACTCTATCCCGATTCTAGTCATATAACCTCAAGCAAATATTACTTATTGTTACATACAAACCATTGATTTTGTAATTTATTTAAGAACTTTTGTTATTGATTTATTATCTTTTTTCATAGAAGAAACCCTTCGGAGGCGTTCTAAGTGGATCATGTATCCTTAGCAAGTGTCTCTTTAAATTATTATCAGAAATAAAATGTCTATCACATATTTTACAGACTGCTCGATAGTCACTTTGTGGGGGTTGTACAGATTTACCGCAGCTTGTAAACTGATGGCATTTTAGACTAAAATATTGCATACAGGCCAGGCATTGGTAAGGTTCTTTGAGTGTGTTCACATTAACGTGGTTGTCGAAAATTTCTTTCTTCTTAAATTGCACCTGGCACACATCGCATTGATTTAAAATAGGTTCTATTGATGTTATATGTTTCAAAATATGTTCTTGCCACTTTTCCTTTTTGTAATAGAACATTAAGCAGTATTGACATTTAAACGGACGATTCTTAGGCATGTTCATAGACGGGTGATTAGACATATGCACACTCAAAGCTTCTGGATTCTCGAAAAATTTAGGGCACTGTTGGCAAGTATACTTCTCACCGTCTGACTGTTTATTAATGCAAGTGAGCCCTCTATAATGATTATCCAATTGATACTTGTGCCTGAATGGTTTTGTGCACAATTTACATTTATATAACGGAACTGTGTTCACCACAAATTTTTTAGCTTTGCCATTTTCATCATTCATGAAATGTGCAAACATAATATGTTCAGCCAGTTGGAATTTTGATCGAACTTTTTTAAGACACATATCACATTTGAACAGCTGTAAATTTCCCCGTTTTATGAAGTGTTGTGAATAATGAAATAAATAGGAGATTTGTTTGGCAAATATTTGACCACAATGGTAACATGTCACAAGATTTTTACCAAAGTGCTTTGTAAGATGTATTTTTCTTAACAACACTGTTGGAAACTCTGGAAATAAAAAAAATAGTGTCAGATTTATATCAATCAGTACAAGATGTTTGTTGTACTTGCCACCCAGTCAATGATCAATTTTAAAAAGCATATTTTGCACAGGAAATACTAGACATACATATTTTTGACTTCACCAAATGTGACATTTGATAGGGTTTAGTTGGTTAAAGTTAAAGATATCCCTGGCAGTGAAATGAGCTGAGTAGGTGACTAGGTAAGTCATGAGATAGATTAAGTTTTATTGTGTAATTGTTTAACAGTGCTCTATGGGGTGGAGCTACCATGCTGTACAACAAAAATTTATCAAAGGAATAACTTACTTTTCTTACAGACAGGCAATAATACAGGTGTCTTCCTTTATTTTTCTCTTTATTTCTTCTATTTGTCATAAGACTTGGAACATGCATGCTGCTACTAGGTTGTAAATAATCTGTTGCATGGTCAATTTCTATATCGCATTGTGCTGAAAAAAATTCAAACGTGGGATCAATAATAGCTTCTCGTTTGATTTTACTTAATTCACTATCTGATATATAAAAGCTTTTATCTTCCATTGGGCAAAATTCGTCTATTTGTATGGGTGGTATCTCTAAATCATTGCTGTGCATATAATTTAGTCCAAAAGTGGGCTTATACACTCTTCTTCAATGTTAACAGATGGGACAACGGTCAACGAGTTTTGTTCCATTTCACGTGATGACGAAAATTAAGATTCCACGTGATTTTTTTTAATTTCTGCTTATATAAATAGCTGTATTATGTAGTTAAACAAATTTTCCCGTAGAGATAAAAGACATTCAAAATTATTGAATACACTACACTTGATTTATTTTATATTTATTTTGACAAATGACATGTTGACTTTTGACCAATCTCTTCTTCTTGAATTGATCATTTGTATACACATAAAGTGTATTCAAGTAAGCTTTATTCATATGTAATTTCCTCGAAAATTTATTGTTTTCTATCAGTTATCTGGTTTCTATTTGTAAATAAAGAATACAATTTCCAAGGGAACAGTGTTGCCATGTCCTTATAATGTATACGTATACCCAGTTCGCTATTCCCAGTCCGAACTGTCTAGTGATTTTAGTAATTATTTTTTTTTCGAAGTTAGTTACTTTTTGACAGACTCGATGTGGCTGGAAAATTACTATACAACCAAGCATACGTGCTCTTAGTCAATATTAATGGTAAACAAAAGTAAATAAAATAGAACTTTGCCGACAATCAATATTTATTTATTTACACCGTATAATGGTAATTGATAACAAATAATTAAAATTATTTATTGTACCAAAATAAAAAAGTTAGAATAAATTCTACAAAATTAAGAAGTCAAAGTGAGGTTAAATAAGACACAGGCAAGTTCCTTATGTATTTACAACATTTAACATAATTCGATAAATACATTTTAATGATCAACTTACCTCAACAGGGTTTTCATTCGGCAAATAATTAAAAAAGATGGGTAGGCGTTTTGAATAAACTTTGTGCAGTTTTATTACCTTGTAATCTAGGAACAGCATCCTTACTAATCTAAAAATATTAACTTTTAAAAAAACTTTTTAAAAACATTTTTATCATATTTATTAAGAAAAACTTACAACGCATTAGCTGATGGAACAAATGGAAAACTTTGATTATCCATAATAATAAAATTTAAAATATAACTAACTAATTAACTGAATAAAACAAACAAAAGAATTAAACAAAGAGATTAAAAACTATATTAAATATAAATAAACAACGCGAATAATACAAATATTTACTACAATATTTTAAATTGTAACAATTCAAATATTACATTTTAAATATACAGGGAAAATTTGATGGGTTTAGTATACACTTCACATATTTAGAACAATTCTTCTTTTTTTCAAAGAAAGAAGTCTGCAATAGTAGTATACTTGAGCTATTAATACTGAGAAGTAGGAATTGTTGTGTTTGTAGGTTTCCTACAATGAAGTCCTGTCAAAATATGCCCTAGCTAAGCGAATAGACAATAATAATTCTTCAAAATACAAAGGAGAGGAAGCTTTTAAAAAGTACATTTTTACTATATTATTTTATTGATTCCAAACCACTAGTTATTGGTACTATTACTTTTAAAAACTGTTTTAAAACTATTTACTTTTATTTTGGTAATTCTACAGTGCGGAGACATTTTTCAGCGGGGACACATTAATTTAATACGTGTTGGATGTTGCATAAATCTACTACATTACAAATGCTCATATTATTATTCAATATCTACGCCGAAACAATGGTTATACCTTTATAGACATTAAAAGAGATTTATATTTTTTATCATTGTCACATACCCATTTAAAAATGTTGTCAAAGGAAATAGTAGCAATCAAATTTATGCAACTTATATTACAGCCAAAAACAATGTGTGGTCTACTTCTAACCTAATAATTTCTTATGATCTTTTTTGTCACTTTATTTTTTATTTTTAGTCTGTATATAAACAAAACAAGCACCTTGTTGAAATTCTTCATTATTTTCTTTTCAGATTTTTTTAGTGTTTGTTAAGTATAAATCAATATTTTACAAGAACAAGTTAAAACAGATTAGAAATTTTAATTTGAAGTAAATTAAATTTTAATTTTATAAGTTGAATATAAAAATTAATGATGTCCCATAATTGTATTATATCAAAAATTAGTAATATCGAATATAAAGAAAAATCACCAGTAAGTATAATATATGGCAAATTAGAAACAAAATACGGAAAATCTGTTCTGGCATTCTTAGAAAACCAGATTTGTTTTGTGTCTTTTGGTGATGAATTTAACTCAGGGATCGACATTTTAAAACCACTTTTCAAAACGCTCACTTTACCTGTGATGAGAGTATAGCAACAAATAAAATAAACTATTTTGATTCAAATACCCCAGACGATATTAAATTGATCTTAAAGGGAACAGAGTTTGAAATTACAGTCTGGGAATATCTACTCCAAATAAAGAAGGGAACAACAGTACCATATGAGGAAGTAGCTAAAGGAATCGGCAAACCAAAAGCTATAAGAGCTGTGGCGAATGCAATAGCAAAAAATATAATAGCATTTTTTATTCCATGTCATAGAGTTATTAGCAAAAATGGAGATCCTGGTAAATATGGATGGGGAAGAGATCGAAAATTGAAAATGTTGGCTGATGAAAACGTTTTTTTTCTAACATTTATTACTGTTACAATTTATATATTTTTTTAAGAAATAAATAAATCAATCAAAGTCTGATTTTGGGTCTCATTTAAGGTTTATTAAATATTTTTTAAAGTTTCTTCCTGAAGACTACTGTCTACCTCAAATTTTGATATGCTTATACATATTATAAAATTATGAGTATTGTAGTATGATTTCAAAAGTTATATACGATCAATAATTCACAGAATGTTATTAAAAATTTTGTTGATACTTTATTTACATATAAATTTCAGTTCTAATACTTTTAAATAAATATAAAATCCAAAGGAATGAGATCTAGCAAATGGAAAAACTATGCCATACATTGTTTCTTAATGGATATTACTCACAAACTTCATTATTATCATAAAGTAGAAGGATTGCCAAACTTACAAACTTCTCTTTCCACTTTTTATTATAGCTGGCGTAATCATATGTAACAAAATGAGCCTTTAGTACATGTTCTAACTTAAACTCTTTTGAACACAACCTGCATTTAAAAAGTTTTTCAACACTATGTATAAGTACTTGCATTTACATGATAAGGCACCTAGATGTAAACACAAATGTGATTTCAAAGAACGTTTTTCACACAAAAGTTACACTTAAAGCAGTAAGTAAATTCTTCTTTACTTTCAATTGGTTCAGTACCTAAAAGATCAAAGGTTTTATCCTCTACTTGACTAAATTTATCCAATTGGATTGGCAACAGCTTCAAATTCAAATTATCCCTATGTATATAATCTAGTTCACACTTAAGCTTACTATACTCTTCTTTAATGTGAATGGACAAAGCAGTATTTGGTGGTTCTTGTTCCGTTTTGGTTGGCTGGTGGTCATTCAAAGTCATCCCTGTAAATATTATTCTGTTCATACATCAATTCACAACACTCTTCTTTAATGTGAATGGAAGATACATCAAACATTGATTCTGGTTCAAATCATCCCTAAGCATATAATCACAGATTATAAGACCATATAATTCAGTTCGTTCAGTTCAGACCAGACTCCTGTTCATTAGATGGGAAAGCAGTCAATGATTCTTGATCCTTTTCACGTTGTTTGATAATAAACTTTGTGAGAATTTCCAACTATATATTCTCTATTCACTAGAACTAGAAATATTTGGATTTGAAATAAAGATTTTTCGTTTTTTGTTTGTTTACTTTGTTTACATAAATACAGACAGATGAGATGAGATTGAGATTGGTTATCGGTTTAGCGTTAACGTATAACTGGTTGCCGACATTGTCGTTCGATTTGACAATCGCTAATCGCTCCGATTTTTTTAACCGCTAGATAGCGGTAAAAACGTCAAATGATGTAGCCATATTATTCTACTGTCAAAATTGTCATAAGTCACTGCCAATAAAACGCTTTCTTCGAAGCCGGTTGTAGGTTTTATTTTTTATTTTGTTTAATTTTTCTGTATTGTAAAATACAAACAAGGTGGAGGTAAAAAATTTCCTTCGCTTGCAGCCGATATCCACCCAACCATGGATAAAATCAAAATCGAAGAACAGGATAGACCCCGGCCATTTCAGACGAGTATTAGAGTGGAAGAATCAAACCAATTACCTTATAAAAATAGTAGATTGCAGCAAGAAAGCTTAGGACTATTTAGTTCTGGAATTGGAGACAGAAAATCATTCCAGGATGTATATGTAAATACTAGTAGCTCAGTTAAACTACAAGATTATACGGAAAGCGAAAAAAGATATAACCCATTCGCAAGTAACGATTTCTACCACTTACTAGATCAACCATGTAGTAGCAAACAAGCCGATTTCATTTTAAAACAATATGAAGATGTTACTGTGGAGAAAGTGGTGAAGAAAATAAAGAAACGGTTTCAATGTCCAATATGCAAAATAGGTAAGTCATTTAAAAGCTTTTTAAACAGACAAATTTCAGTTTGTCATGTTATCCTAAAGAAAACTAATGAAAGCCAATGATTGGCACTACCGTTATTTATATTTGGCACTAATTGTTAATTTTATACATAATTAAACAAGCTATTTTGTATCTGTAGGGAATCAAATTGATTACATTTTTATGAATTGTTGGTGTATACATAGTTTTGTTACACTACACATTTTAACTAACACCTTTCTTTGAATTGCTGCAGTTTGAAAGTTCAGATAAAAATCAGAAAAGCATGTAATTCAATAATGTCAAGTAATAAACATAAACAATTCATGTAATAAACAATTAAAAGTTAATCCTAAATACAACTCCTGGTTTTATAATAATCTTTTTTTGGAAATGATTTTCAGATTGGAGATCGAATCTCAAAACAAAAGT